TTACAAAAAAAAATTTAGAACTGCATTAATTAAATTTATTACATTAGAATCAAAACTGTGTTTATTTTGTTACAAATACTTTAATTATGTAAAATGTTATTATGTTCATCAGTTCATGTTTTAAACATTATAACGAATTTTAAAATTAGTATAAATATTATGAAATTTGAAGTATATAGGATTTTTTTTTCGCAATTTAAAACCAAATTGTATTTTAATTTTCAAATTGTATTTAATTTTCAAGTTACGAAAAAATTATAGAAATAAAAAATGGCAGCATTAGTACCTTTTATTCCATTGCCACCACCAGAGGACCCTGGAAAATGCTTATATATGTAAGGTACCAAGGTGCTTAGCCAACATAGAAAAATTTTATGATGTAAGAATTTTATAATGCTTAATTTTGAGAAAATTTTATACTATGTAAGATAATTAAATTGCATATTTTTGGTATTATTCTAAAATACTAAGAGTTTCTAGTTGCTTATTTTTCATATTTATAGAACTTTTTAAATTATTATATATTGAATTTATAATTAATTTTTATTTTATTTTCACTAACGGTAAATATTAATTTTGTACTACATTTCACGATTTTATATAAATACATAAACAAAAATTTTTTTTTGATGAAATTTCAGTTTTTTTTTTTCAATGTTTTATTAATTATCTTTCAATAGTATCTTTTTAATTTTTATTAAACTCAGTATATTATTTTTAATATAAAATTACTATATTATACATGTTTATTTTTTAAATAAAATTACTGTAAATATGTTTTACTTTAAAATATAATTTCACTACTCACCACTTTGGTTATATCAAATTATCTTTTATGCTTAAGTAAGGTTGTTCAGCAAGTTAAATCTACTTGTATTTTAATTTTCATAAGGCTAAGTATGATATTTATATAGAAAAGCATATTTTTTATAACGGTAATAATTTTAAATTTTTCACTTTTTCGTTTACAACTTCAGAGCGTAATTACACCACTTCAGTCAAATGAAATCGACTTTCTAAATTAATTGAAAGTTGTTCAGCAAGGTCGAAACTACTTATATATTAATTTTTATGAGTGTGTGTATAATACTTATGGAGAAAAGTGCATTTTTCATAACGGTACTAACTTCCGAATTTTTTATTTCTCCGTTTATAACTTCAGAGCGTAATTACACCCCTTTGGTCAAATGAAATCGACTTTCTAAATTAATTGAAAATTGTTCAGCAAGGTCGAAACTACCTACATATTAATTTTTATGGGTGTAAGTATAATACTTATGGAGAAATATACATTTATTGTAATAGTATTAATTTCGAATTTTTCTTTTACTGTTTATTAACTTTATTAATTGAATATTGTTAATCTACTTGTATATTATGTTTAGTTTAGCTTCACAACATATTTAAAATTGGATTTAATAAAATATATTAATTATAAATATATTTTATAAATTATATGTGTTATAATAAAAATTTAATTAGGTTAGAAGATTGATTTGCTTATTTTTATATAATTTTTAAGGTTAGATATCAACAATGCTTAGCGATCATAGTAAAAACCTATGCTTAGAGCTACTAATAAAAAATATTTTTGGGACCTTACCTATATAAGTATTTTCCGGGGTCCTACCACCAGCATTCCAATGGACGATTAACGCTATTAGGCAATTAATCGCAGAATGAAGAAATTTGCATCAGCAATTCGAAAGAATTGCAAACCATTATCATGCAAATGCATGGATAATAATATCAAATAGGCAATGCTCTACAAAATGGAATGCTACTTTCAAACGAAGTTGTGAAAACCTCAATAGGTTAATAAATAATAATGATGACGACATTCCTATTGTAAGCCCAAATAGTTTCAATAGAGCGTGTTTCGCTGATATGAATGATGAATTTTGGTTACAAACCGGTAATTATTATTAATTATTATTTTAAATTAATTTTATTTAGGCAATTCATTCAATTCATTAATATTTTTATTGGATTTTAGATCTGTTTAGACGAGAGTATCGACGGCAGCATGCTGCGCATGATTGATGTCGATATGAATATAGATTGCAAAAGGAAAGAAGAAGGTTGCGATCTAGATCTTGATCAAGAAGTAGAAATAGAAGTAGAGATAGAAGACGAGACAGAAGTAGAGATAGAAGACAGGATAGAAGTAGAGATAGAAGAAAAGGTAGAAGCAGGTCTCCACATAGAAGATAAAGATATTAAATTTTAATTTTTATTATATTTTTAATTGTATATTTTATTAGTTTAATATTAAATATTATAAAATTAAAATAAAGAAAAAAGTTATTTTAAATATTTACATACAAAAAATTATATTGTCTTTATTCTTATAAATTGTTTAAATGCTAAAACTCTAATTAAATCATATAGAAAGTATTGCCAAAACGCTGAAACAGTTTCGGTAAGTTATGGCAGTTTCGTGATTTTGATAGGTTAGCATTTTTTGATGATTTTACGAAACTAGTTTTGGCAGTTTCATGTACACCATTCTGCTGAAACCCTCTAGTTTCAGCAAGTAACCTTAGGTACGGTACTAGATGGGTTATGTATAGCATAATCAACTTTACCCATTTTGAAATAGATTTGGAGAGTAGCTGTAGTTATTTATACAGAGGGTTTTAGTTTTATAATCTTAGTTTTTTTTTATTTGTAATTTTGGAAGATTATTTGTTCTTTGTTTTCTATTAGTTCTGCACTTTATTGTGGTTCTTTTTAGAATACTTTGTATTCTCTAAAGTGACTTATGGCATTAATTAATAAAATTTAAGCTCATGCTATGTTAAAATTAAAAATTAAATTAATTTTAATCTGTAAATGTTTGTGTCATTTTATTTTTTTGCATTATATTTACAGAAATTTTTACAATTAATTTTTTTTATCAAATATTAAATTCTAAAATAATTTATTTTATAAAATAAAATAAAATAAAAATCTATATTTATACACTTCTGTCTTATATAATTTATATAAAAATTGAATTCTGCAATACTTAGTATTTATTTGAAATGATAGAATTTCAAATTTATAGCTTAAATTCCAATAAATATATATTTACAATTTATTGCGAAAAGTATTTTTTTCACTAAATATATTATTAAAGAATACTTTCATAATGTTTTCATTAAAGCCTTTAAAATCATTGCAAAAAGTATTTTAAAATTAAGTATATGTTTACAATTTTAATAAAAATAAGTAATACTTATTTTTGCTATTATATTTATTTTTATAATATTTTACTTTATATTATAATAAAAACTTTATTTTTCGGTTATTTTTGCTATAACAAAAATCAAATATTACAAAATTATTATTGCTTTAAGGGGATGGCCAAAAATGACATCATTTTCTAAGGGGAGGAGAGGTTAAGACCATAATGATATTACACAACTTCCATTTTTAGACATTTGTAGTTAATATAATTTTAGTCAGAATTGTGTTTTAACTTTACATTTCCTAAAATGAATAATGACATAGGGAGGGGGAGTCAAAAATCCTAAAATTTAAATTACGTCATTTCTGGCCATCCCCTTACAGTGATTTAAATATATTAATAATAATATATTTATCTTAACTTTAATATTACTACCCAAAACTTATTTAATGATAAATTCAAAAATCTGAAATTTAAAAAATTGGTAAATCTGAAATTTTTCTAAATTATAATTAGTTTCAAAAAAGCATAAAAACAGTTTAGACAATTAATTAAGTATTCTTACTTGATTTATATATATATATAAAGCAAAAATTAATTAACAATATAATAATATTTTTTAAAATCAAACTGAAAAATTAAATATTTTATGAAAATATCAAAATTAAAATTTAAAAAAGGAATAGTTAGTTATATAACTAAATGAATTTTCAATATATTATAAAGAGTATTTTACTAAAAAAAAATATACTTACAAGACCTTTAATATAATTAAATTTTATTTATTTTTTTAAAAGAAAAAATTTTTAACTTTATTATATTAATAAAGAAAAATCAGTAGCAATTCCATCCAGTTTAAATAATTCTTTCAAAAAAAAATATTCAAAAATCAACTAAATACTAAATATAAAACTATTTAGAAATATTAAAATTATCCAAAATAAAGTAGAACCTGAATATTTTTTTATTTACTTCAATAAATATATATAATTAAATTTTTAATTTATAATAAATTAACATTATATACTAATACATATATACTACTCTATAATAAATTACTAGATTTAATATAATTTGCATAATAATTTTCATGTATATTGCATATAAGTTTACAAATTTTTAATAAAATTCGCCAGAATTTTTTTATTTGAAAGCTGATCATAGATAGTTTTTATGCATTAAATAAATAAATAAGATTAATTATAAATATAAAAAAAATTTCTTATTGTAAAATAATATAAAAAATTATGAAATTCTCACTTATTTTTAACAATAGATCAATACTGGATTAACTCTTTAAAATTTTAGAAAATTTTCTTTATTTTTTAATACATGAAAATTACAATTAATTGGCTTTTAAACAAAAAAATTTTATTTGAATTTTATTGAAAATTTATAAAGTTTTATATAACCTAAAAATTAATAATTTTACTAGTAAATCTTATAAAAATTGGTAATTACATAGTAAAATTAATAATAATTAATAAATTTTAGACTATATAAAAATGAATTTTCAATAAAATTTAGTCAAAATTTTTTTGTTAAAATTAAAAAATAAAAAAAATTTCTAAAATTTTAAAAAGTTGATTCTTTATTAAAAAAAGTAAGAATTTCATAATTTTTTATATTTATAATTTTTCTTCTTATTTATTTTGATATATAAAACTATTTATAATCAACTTTCAAATAAAAAAATTCTGGCTGAATTTAATAAAAATTCATAAACTTATATATAACATAAAAATTATTATGCAAATTTTGTTAAATATAATAATTTATTGTAAGGTAATATATAATATTGCTTAACCAATAATTCTGATTATAAAGGATATAAATAATAAAATTAAAGGATATAAATAATAATAGTTTATATATATATTAATATAACTGATAATATATATTATATATATTTATTTAATAATTAGAATTTAATTATATAGGAATAAGAAGGTTAAGCTTCTAATTAAATATAATTACATGATTTCTGATACTGTATGTCTCTTATGAAACTAATATTTAGATATAAAATAATTATAAATCTATTTGAAAGAAAATTTGCAGAAATCTTTATTATAAAACTCAAGATATTGAAGAAATATAAAAATACAATAGTTTTATTTATAAATAAAAAATGAACAGTTACATATTAAAATAAAAAAAAGAGAAAAGTAATTAAAATTAAATTTCAATTAATAATGCAAGGAACTTAGATTTGAAATTTTTTAATTTAATAAAACATATTAATAGTATATTGTTAAATACTTAAAGAATAAAATAAAAAAAATCACAATAAAAAGAATACAAAAAATAAAGGTAAATTAATTTACTTACTTTTATAACAGGATTCTGCTTACTTCTAATATAAGTATCCAAAAATCTGTAGTAAAATTTATAGTAAAATTTAATTTTAGGTCTTTTAATAATTAAAAGTAAAATTAATAAATTATATATATAACAAATAAAGGTTTTCGGATATGTAAAGTAAAGTTAAAATAGGTTTTCAGTTTTATAAGATAAAATTAATTAATAATTTGTATAGGTTTCAGTATATAATAAGGTAAAATTGATTATATATTATATTATAAATTAGACTCTTAATTTTATATATAAATATAATATGAAAATTTACCCCTTAATTGTAATAAATAACACATAATAATTTAGACGTGATGGTATAATAAGTTTCTAAAAAGAATTAGACATAATGGTGTAACAAGTTTATAAAAACTTTAGACATGATGATGTAACAAGTTTATAAAAACTTTAAATGTGACAGTGTAATAAAATTATAATAAGTTTTAGATATGATGGTGTAATGAAATTTAGATGTGATGATGTAACAAATTTAAATATCAAAATATAAACAAATTTAGATAAAATAGAAATTATTTTAGATGTAATAGTGTAATGACAAAAATTTATATAAAGAACTTTAGAATAAAAGAATGGTAATGGGATAAGAGACGAGAATATTATAAGTCCATAAATTTTTTTAAAAATTATGTAATTTTTCAGTATTATTTTTATATTAAATAACTAATTTTAATACTTTATTTTAGCATAGAAAATTTTTTAATAATTTTTTAATTAAGAAAATTTCTAATTATCACCACACCACCATATAATAAATCACGTGATCAAGATGTAGTTGCGATGTTTTGAAATAAATTTTATTAAAAGCTAATTTAAAAGTTTAAATATGAATACATAATAATTTTACAGTTTTACAATGCAATTTCAATTATAAATTCCTTAATTACTCTCACTAAGAATCCTTTTACTTTAGTTTCAACTATAATTCATCAATTTTTCTCACTAAGGATTCTTCTTTTACAATTACGCAAATCATGACCTGTACCCCCACATCCTTTACACTTTCTTTCCTTCTTATCATTTCCATTAACTTCTAAGTTGCCTTCAGTTTTCTTTTGTTTCTTATTCTATCTTAAAGTTTCTCCTTCATTTAAGTATTGACCTGGGGTCGTCCATAACGTCTTGAAGTTACTGGATTAGAACATTCAATATTTTCTTGTTGATTTCCTGCAGTATTTTCATCAGTTGTTTAATTACAAAGTAATTCTTGTTGCTTTTCTTCAATATATATTTGAAGTAACCCATTCAACTCATTATAACAATCTAATTTTTGTGTTAAGTCTAAAGCCTTTTTTGTGAAACCAAATGCTTTTCCATATTTTAATTTTGCCGAAATGATTACTTGAAGCTTTTTTGTATAAACTTGTTCATCACGAACATGATGAATATAATTAAAATTGATTTCTTCATGAATTACTGCTGAAGAATTATGATCTTCAACAATTGATATAATATTTAATAAAGCTATTTCTTTATCATCAATATTTAACTTCGAATCTTGATACCAGCGCTGATTTATTAAAGAAATATGAAATTTTGCTTGTGAACTCTTTCTAAGAACTCTATAAAAATATCTACATGGAATACCATATGATATTAGAAGGTTACAAGTACAAGAAAAACTTCCATCTGCCATCAAAACTACAAAATGTGATTTTGTTTGTGACAATTCTGGCTTAACTTTCCAAATTTTGACATTCAATAAATTTTGTATCTTTCTGATTATAGTTTGAAGTAATATTTGTGTTGCATCATAATCATCTTCCTGAAAACCTTCATTATCATCTGTATTATCAACCTAAATAAAAGAAACAACAAAATTAGCAACCATATAAAATTTTTAAATTCATAATAAATTCCTTTCTAAATCCTAAACGGATCTTAACCCTAACCCCTAACCTAACTCCTAACCCTAACTCTAACCCTAACTCTAACCCTAACTCAACGCTATCCTAATCCTAAAGCTACTCTGAAACCTAACTTACTTGCTGAATAGTATCTTTATCAACCAAGTATGCATCGTAAAAAAATGAATGCTTCATCTGATTTTGAGTTGCTAAAAGAATGTGTGAAATTAAAAATTTCTTACAAATTTCATTAATACTTACAAAAAATTTTGAAGGTACATCATCCAAAGTTTGTAGAGGTAAAATATTTCTCATTTTGATTATACGTTCATATTTCATTTCATTATTAAGTATATTTTGAATCTCATTGGTGAGTTAATATAAGAGAAAATTTTTTTGGATAGCAGCTTTAAGTAGATGATTAAGGGATTCTACTCTTTGAGTGCTATTTATTCCACAATTGAAAATTTCATTTATATAGCAAGTAGCCTAACTTTCCTTTGTTGGTTCAAGCATCCGCTTCAAATATTTTGATATTTCAGGATATTTTTCAATTAAAATTTTCCATTTTGATTCAAAAATCTCATAAACAAGACTATTACGGCATGAAAAAAATTCAGCCCGAAATTCACTAAATTTTTGCAATCCAAGTTTTGGTTTCACATTCTTTTTAAGGTTAAGATCAATATGAAATATGCACAAGTTGTGCTTTGATGTTGGGAAAACAAAACTAATAGTATTTGCCATAGCAGGGTCACAATCAGTATATATAACACGAGGATAAACATCACTTGAAACTTTTTAAGTTGTTGTAATACCCAAATAAATGAGTTTTCCGTTTCATCTTCTAGCAATACACTTGCTATCAATCGTGATCTTATATTATTATCAACAACAAGAAATAAATATAGAACCATATCATAACGATTTATTCCAACTGTACAATCAAAAATTAAGACTTCGTGAAATCTAATATAGTAAGAACATTGATCAGGTGACATCCAGATTAATGATGTTAGTCTTTAATCATTTTCAAATAAGCGAAATTCAAAGAACCATTCAGGTTATTGTTGTTTCTTTTCATAAAGATAATGTAAAAAATTTGCACTATCATTTTTAACAACTTCCTTTTGCCCAACCTTAACTTTTTGAATAATGTTATATAGATCCTTTTTTAAAATTGGATAATCAGAATACTTTGCTCGAAGTAATGGATATATCTGTGTAGCGCTAAATATATTATGTTTCACATAAAATTCAACATCAGTAATCATTTCTGGAGTAAATTTTCTAAATTTAGGTGCCATTTCTGCAATTAATGGATTCATAACATGATTGTGTTCAAGTTTAACAGATGTAATACCTATGGTATTTTCTTTTTTGGGTTTAGTTGCATTAACATGCCAAGGACAATTGATCTGGTAACTTCTTCTATTCCTTTGGTTATCAAAATTAATAATCTTCTTTGATACATAATTACCGGAATGAGTACACTCATATGTCCTTCGCTTAACATGAAGTTTTTTCTGATCAACTGTTAAACCTTTCATTTCTTTTTGATGCAAATAATACTCAACCCTTATTTTTTTAAAAGAAAATCCTTCCTGTAAAGCATATCGTTCAAGATAAACTTCAAATTCTTCCCAAGTATGAAACTTTGCACCTGTAATTATCGTATAATGAAAATCATTTTCTTCATCACTAGAATCAAAATATTCATTAATAGGTTCATTTTCTTCACTGCTAGAATCAATAATTTTGTGATTTATATTCATTATTAGGTAGTTATAATGTAAGAAAGGTTAGAGTAAAAGAAAAAGAAATAAATAAATTATGAACCATGGGAAATCAAAATAGTTAATCAGAAAGCTTAATAATTAAATCAGGTGATTACGTAATAAATCACATGATCAGGTGAAAACGCCTGAGGCGTTACCTAGTTAATTTCTTTAATTAATTAATAAAATTTATTAAAACTTATCTTGGTCAATATTAAATCTAAAAAGATAATTTTACTACCATTAGAATTGTCTTAATGAGATGATTCTAATGGTATAAAATTTATCAAAATATGATCACTGGATTTTTAATAATTTGCAAATTTATAATTGTATTTTTTTATATTAAAATTTATTTATAGTAATAAAAATAATAAAATTTATATTATTAATAAGAATTTAATGAATGTTTAAAAAAATTTTAAACTATTGTAAAATACTTTATTTAATGATTAAATATTTTTTAAAGAAAATTTAGGTCTTTAAAAATTTAAGGTAAAATTCAATATAATTTTAAAAGATCATACTATATATAAGGTAAAATTATAAGACAGAAAAGGTTGGTAAAATTACTAGTAAATCTGAAATACTTCTATTAGAAGTAAGTGAAGTCATTTTATAACAAATAGTACCCAATTATTTTTCAGATATCCTATAATAAATAAAATAAAATTTAATTTGGATCTTGATAAGCAGATTTTGAATTTGAATTAATGTTAAGAAATGCAGATTTTAAGTAAATAAAAAGTTTATAATTTTTACTTGTATTTCAGATAAATAGAAGATATATCTTCTACTTAGATTTTAAGTGAATAAAAGATATGAAAATATACTTAATAAATTTACAAAACTAATTAAAAAATAAAAATAAATTAGTAGTTTATTAATTTATATAGATAATTGAAAATGTTTTGAAAATATATATAATATATTGTAATAAATATAATAAATCTAAAAAAGTAAAATAAAAGCTTTTTTTTTCTGAAATCATCTTTAAAAATTTCTTTTAGTAGTTTATTTGTTTTATCTATTACATTTATTATTTCCTAATTTTTTTTTCTTATTTTCCCTTATTTTCTTCTTTCTTAATTTTTTATATATTTTTTTTGTAACAAATCTTATAACAAATTATTATAAATAAAAGATAAGTATTGAAAATGATTTTTTATCCTTAAAATAGCATATCATAGGTTAAAGAGTAAAAAATCAGGTATCAATCAGTCACCAATTGGCATTTTCACCAAATACCGTTACCAATCAGGTAGTTTGCTAACTTTTGATCTAGTGATCAGAAAAGGATGAAATATAGCTCATTGGAATCGTTTCAATAAGATGAATCTAATGATAGTAAAATCATATTTCTAGAATTAATAGTTAATAAAAAATTAAATAAAATATAAATGATATATTTTTATTTTTACATTTTACTTAATTTCTCATTATGTATTAATCCTAAAAATGCGATTTTACTACCATTAGATTTGTCTTATTGAGATAATTCCAATGAGCTATATTTCATTCTCTTCTGATCACTGAATTAAAAATTAGCAAACTGTCTGATTGGTGACAATATTTGGCGAAAATGCTAATCAGTCACCAATCAGTCACCAATCAGTCACCAATCAGCTACCTGATTGGTGATCGAGTGACTGATTGATGCCTAATTTTTCACTTTTTGACCTGTGATAGCAGGCTTTCCAATTTTCAAGTAATCACATAATGATTAGTAAATGTGATTTTTACTTAAATAACAATAAAATTTAAGTAAATCATCAAGTTTTCAAGTAATTTTAAATGACGTAACACTGACATAATTGTTTGTTATATAGATATGTATTTTATTGGCTGAATATCAAATGTATCAGCATATGATAATTATATTAATTTATTTTAATTGTGCTACAAAAAATTTAATAGCGAAGAACAATAAAAAAAATTGATTTATCAGGTTATATTTAAATGTATTACAAAGGAATCCAGCTATTGAAGGCAGAATCCAGAAGTTATAAATACTTGAAAACTTCTTATAAAATGAAAATAAGTATAGTACGTTTTCTTTCAAATTGTAATAAGCTGAAGAAACAAAGAAATGAGATCTATTTACAATAATGAAAACAGACATATTCAAAGGTTTGTTTATTACTTAAGTCTTTTAATCTACTATATGTTTATTGAATTTATAATAGAAGAACCCTTTTAAAGAAGCTTTTTTCTTCATATATTTAACAACTTCTTAAAAAACAAATTTTTTGGATTTTATAATAAATTATTACATAATTTTTCTTTGTTGAAAACTGATCTATCTATTATTTATTTTCTTGAATAGTAATAACTTTTTTTCATTTCTTTAAATAAAATATAAAATCTTATAAATAACTTATTAGTAAGAAATTTTATGATGTAATATTAGTAATATAGTATTATTTTCTCAGTGTGTATATTATTGGCTAAACAAATAATTTTACATTTTAAAAGATTAAATCACACTCTAATTTTGGAATCAAAGATCTTTCCAATTGATTCACTATATAAAAATGTTAACAATTAAATTTATAATTAGGAATAAATGTGTTGAACGTATTTATTCATCAACCAATGATTCAACTAAAGTAATTTTTAATTTATTGGATAGTCTTGGTTTATTCTTTAAAGTAAATATAAAAATATCCGCCTAGTTTCTAAGTAAATTAAATTATTTGCATTTTTTTTATAAGAATTATGTTTGATTTTAATTTTACACAATGATATATATTAAAGTTCTTCATTTTACATCCATATTCAGTAAAATTTTAAATACAAGTATATCAAGTTGCTTTGGAAAGTTTGAGTTATAATTATTATATAGAATTTTGAATTTGCCAAACATTTATATCAAAAAAATGTATTAATCACGTTAAATTAATAAGTTGTTACATATAAAAGTTAGCCAATAATAATCTGATTTTAGTAAAAATTGGTATAATTAAAATTTAATATAGGACATATATATTGATAGAATTTAAGTATATATTAATATGCTGAATTTTTCAAAAAATTAAACAATGTTTCATATCGAAATTGTATATTACGTGATAAAATCAAAAAAATTTGTGTAATAAAATCGAAAGCCTGCTATGCTCCTTAAAATACCTAATAGTATTTTAGTACCATTGAATGCTATTCTAATATGTTTGAAATTTTAGTACTTCTATAGGAAAGATAGAAGAGTGAAGTATTTTAACATTACAAAATTATATACAATATTAATATAACATGGTTTTTTTATTATACATGAATCAATGATATGAAACAGAACAATAAAATTTATTAGTACAGAAAATTATCAGTATACTAGGAACTAGTACATTATATAGAGATTTGTCTGTATATTAACTAATATTAGTTTTATAACTCTACCTAAATAAGATCTTTTTTAACCAATAATATTCAATTATATATATAATACTATAAACCAATAAAATGTTTAATTTTGTGTCACATATTTTGCTTAACCCCATATTAGCTAATATATATCATGGCTTTCACTGCATTTTTCTTACTTATTCTTATTCCTATTACTATAATTTCTACTATATCAGGTTAAAAACTATAATTCTGGTCAAATTTACATGAATTCATGTTATTAAAATACAATTTAAAATTTGTATAATGGGGCCAAGAGATAATAGAGATATGCAATTGCACGCAGTAAATAGAATAGAATATAATACTTGGTAAAAAATGAGGAGATGTTAAGATAAAAACAAAAATCTTGAATATTCCAGCTTGACGAAATTAAGCCAACAACTATGTTGTTCATATTAACTTTTTTTAATACATGATTTATATTATATTGCATTCACTGCATTTAAATTGACTAAATAAATTTCGATTTCACGTGATCTGTGATCACAACCGTTTACATAAAAAAATATACTGTACATAATAAAATTATAAACTGAAATGAATATATATATATATATACATAATTAATTATTTTTAAAAAAATGTGATGATATGCCGTGATGATATGCCGTATGATGTTTGCAACATTGTTCATAAAATATACAATAAACTCATTATCTTTATTTGTCCTTTCCAAACAAAGTTTTAACAAATGTAGATACTCTACTGAGACGTTTTTCATCGACCACTTCATTACCAAGATTTTCTTTTTCAACTTGACTAAATCCATTCAATAATCCAGTTTCAATCTGACTAGTTCTAGTTGAACCATTTATTTTCAAGCTTTGACTAGTTCGACTTGATCGACTAACCCTTCTTGAATTATCTATTGTTGTTTCTCTCTTAACTTGAAAAACTTCATAATCATCTACATAAAACACACCTTTTGGTATACCATCAAGTTTAGGATAAGAAGATGGATTGCTACCAATCCAAGTACAATTATAATTATATAGATCATTGAAACCGAATATATCCGAATTACAAATTATAGATTGTGGATTACCATTACTATAACTTATATTTGCAGTTTGAAGTTTTCTTCTATCTGAAAATTTGAATATATAACTATTCATTGCTGGTTTAGTAATACCACTTGAATCCCATCCAAGTGGATTATATCCTCCAACTATTTTTTCTGAATCACTGATTTTTATTACAATAAGAGCGGCCCCTTTATTGTCACATTTCGCATGAAAATCTTTAGGCGTACTACCATCTCTACTAGCTTTGTAAATAAGATCAAATTTATGAGTAATGTTTCCACTACATCTATCAATCCAATTCGAAAAAAGTGTTACATGTCTTCGATTAATTATTGTAGAATCAGGTCGAGGTTTTAAACATCTCGGCATATGCATAGTAGGAGTTGGTTCGTATCTAGTATTTAAATAAAATTTTAAAATATCTTCTCTTAGCTTGTGGGGTAAAATATCTTCATAACGTGAAAGTTTATGAAAGTAATCATTAGATGATATTTCAAAAAATTCAATTAAATGAATAAATCTACGAAGAATAGTCCCAACAGGGATGATTTGATTTAAATTAAATGCTTGTTGCCTCATATTTTGTGCTAATACCCAATTAATTAAAATATCCCAAATTTCAGATTCTTTTAAATTTAAATCATCTCGTTCTAGAATAGTTTCCAATAAATAATCGGGAAGATTAATAAATTTATCAGATTCGAACAAAAATTCAGGATTAGAACATATTATTTTCACACAAATTTTTTGTAAATTATCGATAAATTCAGAATAATGAATGACTTGAAGAATTCCAACCGGGTCACTTTGTATGAACCTTTGATGATTTTTAATTATAAAGTCTTCAGTAATTATAACTAATCTTTTCAACATGAATTTATTAGAAGCGGATATAATATTTAAAAGTACGGGACCAGAGTTTTTATCAAAATTAATGTGACCAGTATAAAGATATCTAATAAAAAAAAAAAAAAAAAGAATCAATTTTATAATAAACACGTGAACTACATTAATTTATATATAAATTAATAATTATAACAACTTACTTTAGAATAACCTCAAAAGCTTGAGGAAGAATCTTTGGCTCCTTAATTATATATTTTCCATTTTCTTTTATATCGATAAATTTATTAGAGAATTTGTATTCAAAATATTCGGATCTACAACGTAAAATAATAGAATGCGCATGAAATTCTTTAAAGTCATGACCTTCTCCAACATGAATAATAACATTAGATTCCGTTTTATTTTCTAGCAGGTTTCCAAAAGATTCAGATATTTCAGATTCAAGTTTAATATATGATGGTGACATATTTGTAAGTTTCCTACTCACGGAAAGAAGAGAAAAAGAAAATCAATTATTTTAATTCATTTTTTCCCGTTTTTTGAAAAAAAAAAAAATGCCATGCACTACAGTCTACAGCATCCTAAAAACCAATCGAATCGTTACATTAAAAATCCGGTTTATTCAAAGCCAAATTTAAATTGTGTTACTCGGATGATATGATTTTTTTTTTGAAAAACAGAAATTTCGCAATCGCTTGTGATTCACGATAAATTGCTACTTAAAAACTTTCGTATTATATGGTATTTCCAAAATATTTATTACGGCTTTGTTTATAAACTGCTCATGTAGGCTGTATAAATGATCAACCAAATTGGGTGAATTGTATGATAAATTTTTACGATTTTAATATTATACTGATGTATGTGTATGGAAAATTCTCTAAAGATAAAATGCAATCTTCAAATCAATGACAATGTCTATCTTACCAAATTCGGGTAAATCCGGAGGTGTTTAGTGTACAAAAGAGGGTGTCTGATAAATAAAAACTTTTAATATGGAAAAAAAGCGTCAAAATGATTTTCCTTAAAGGAGTTAATAAGTTTTTTAATGATAATTTTTATTATATCATTTTTCAAAAAATTTTGGTAGATTATGGGTTTAACTTACTGTACACTCGGTATGAAAAGGGTCCCATGTTCATGGATCTACAAGCACGCCAATCAATATCTATCATTCTAGAATTTTCGTTACTCTTTATAGTTTAAACTTATTTTGGCATCTTTCAAATTCCAACGTGTTGTTTAATTAAAAAATGGATTTCATGATGTTACGCATATATTATTTGTATATCCAAACCAGATAAACCTTACGAAAAAAAAAGTTGTTCGATACGTTCCGAAATGTCGTTGAATTAGTTGCGTACGCTTTCTGCACGGAGTTTATGGCACACTAATGCTATAATAATTATATGTAAATAAACAAGCCAAGACTTTATTATTGAATCGATAACTTGTTCCGGTAATTCCGATATGTATCACCCCTATTAAATGGCCTGTTTTACCAACAAATATTGTAACTACAAATAAAATAGATAATGGTTAGAATATTTTGAGATAATACTCATTTGGTATTATTAAAATTTATGTGCGAACCTAGATAACGAAAATAATTTAATAATATTTTAAGCCACCTCTTGGAAGTTATTGTCTGAATCATACATAATCATATAATTATTTCGGCAGAATCAATTAAAAAGTCCGTAAATGTGCATTACTAAACACATGAACAGAATTGGAAAAATCCTTTGTTCATGCAAATTTCAACGATGATTCCGAGCAACATGTAGCATAATTAGGTAACAGAAAAGGTCAAAAATTTTATAATAGCTTACGCAAGGTTTTTATTAAGATAAATAAGCAAGTTCGACATGTGACCACAAAATAACAAAATAAATATGCCTAAGTATATAATTCACCGTTCCCCTGTCCCCTGTCCTAAGTGCAAATCAACCCCGGAAGATAACACATGTCTGACCCACTTTGCACAACTTAAAGAGATACTTCCCAAATATAACTGATAAGAAAAACACTCATCAACTTATTAAAGGAACATAGTGATTCCTCTTTCACTTCTGATTTAGAAATCAAAGTCTTTTCCATTATTTTTTTAGGTAACGAATGGTCATCCGATATCTCTTTTAGAACTTAAATATATTGATATGGAAACCCGTAATACTTTATTTAAGGAATGGGAACGTTACAAAAAAAGAATCGACGTAAAAGAAAACGCAAGCGGTTGAACCGTAACACCACACAAAACGATATAATTAATTTACCAACGCGTTCAATGCTTCAATTTAATACTTCTGTCACATACTTGTAACTTCCTACATTCAGGCCCCTGCTATGATCACAGGAACAATATAGGTTTTATTAATACCGACCCATTAAATTTTATTAGATTATCTGGCGCATACACATGGAATATATAATGGGATCAGATGAAATGTTGATTGTAAGGCTTTTTTTTCTTGCTCTTGAGCTTTGTCTCTTTTCTTCATTATTAGTCATTATATACCTCAGGAGCCTCTTAGATATTGGCCTGCATTCAAAACTTTGTAATTATTTTTACGTGAAACTTCATGTACGAAAAAAATTCGTTTAGTAAAATCTATCACGTGACTACTGCTGCTCGTGAGATTATAAGCACTTCCTTTTCTTTTTTTTTAAAAAAAATAAAGTAATAGCCAATGATGTTCTGGAAGTACATTTAGACTTTCAAATTTTTCAATTCCAATACAGTCAGCTCTTGATACAACGAACCCTCCGGGGTTTCACATCAAATTCACTAAAATAATTTAATTGGATGATTTGTATTTAATTTATTTTATTTTATTAAAGAAAGCAGAATAAAATGCAGATACATATTGGTACATAAGAACACATTTCAGCCATTTTATGAATATTAAGTCAATAAAAAGAATTTTTTTTTTTTAGATATCATCAATACATAATATAATAAAAAAAAAATGTCTTCAAAAATAAAAGTAGAGAGAAAATTAAAACGGATTGAAATTCATCCGATAAAATCAATCCGTTTTTATTTTCTCTTTTATTTTGTATTAAATGGTAATTTTTTAACTACTAGATTGTGCATTGGGATGCAGTCTTATAATATATATAAAAAAAAAAAATTTAATCTTTATTAATTAAAAATCCGTGTATAATTACCAGAATGTGCCCTTTCGAATTCATCCGGACCGTAACTCTAACTTTAGAGAAATGTGATCGTTACGATAGTACAAAAGTGTGGAAGGTTAAATATGAAAAGGAGAAGTTAAATAATAAGAAGAAATATCAAAATCCAGGTGTGGAACCAGTATAAAAGTTAGAACTAGTCCACCTGATCCACGCTGTATGGTTATGCTATAGTATAGGTCGGCGTTACCAATAAAAATTCATTTTACATTTGTATTTTTACATAATGTCATAGTTTTACTTTCTATTTTTGAAGTTAGGACTATTTATTATTCTAACCAATGTCAAGTGTGAATATAATAATTTTTACAATAAACAATATTTGCAAATATTAATTAATTGTTACTTAATCTTTGCGATGTACTATATTATTAACTATTAATAAAAAAATAATAAAATTTTGCTAAAATTAGAAAATTATTAATTTTTAATACATATATATATCAATAAAACTATAATTTTTGCGATATATCTTAAAAATTATTACAAAATATTACAATAATATTACGTCTATAAAAAAAGTAATGTGTCAGGATAGTAAGTGTCGGGATAATGAATGTCGGGATAATGAATGTCGGGATAATTAATGAATTATTTGTCGAGTTTGTGATTGTGTAGCGGGATTCTGAATTGTCGGAATTTTGAACGGCTCCCTTCTAAACAAATTGTAATAATATTTTTACTCGTGTACTCAATAAATATTAGCCTGTTGATCCATATTCTCTTGATGATTTTTCATACAAGCCAAGTAAAGCGAAGAAATAACAAATCTTTGTATAATCAGTTTAAAATCACTAGGCTATTTGACGTTTAATTATTTAATTATATTGTAACTTTTTATAATGCTAGTAAAATTTTCCGGGTTTTAATTAGATGCTCAAATATTTTCTGATCTTGTTATATTGGCATTTTTATATTCACCGAGAAAATCGTCGCTGTCACGTGCTTCAGTTTTTTTTTTCCTAACTTTTACCCGATATTATCATATGCTCCTGATTTTCGTCACATGCATCGCGAACTATACCGCGAAGATATTAGAAGATATAATTCATAATGAACATCAGCACATCATAAATCAGTAAAATGGTCGTTCATGAATCATTGTTTAATATAAGTGAGAATTGATGATCGGGAGCTGATTATCAGTTCATGCAAGAGTCCAAATTAGCATCTTCCATATCGAGATTTTTAACCCGTTATGGATCTACTCTTTTCATGCACGTTCGGACAATTAATCAAGTTTCGATCATCTGATCGATCAGATTTTCGTCTTTTTACTAATAACTTCCGAGTATTATCAAGTCCCAGTAAGGCAAATATATCTATTTCTTTGTATTCTTATAGCGAAAAAAAGCGAGAAAACTTTTATTTATATAAATATACTATACTTGTAGCTTACTGGAAGAGCTTGAAAATTCTTTTCTCACAGAATTACGATTTACTCAAAGGTGAGGTTATCCAGAATTGTATTACTGTTTGATAGTATAAAAGAGTGTAATTTCTGTTGGTGAACAGGCAGTTAGTCTTTTAAGTAAGCTAATTATATATTTATTCTTTATTAATGATCCTATTATATTATCCAACCTTTTCTAAAAGTACAAAGATATTCATAATGAAGCCATAATGAAGACATAATGAAAGTTCTATCGAATCTAGCCGTAGAGACGCTCAAAAGATCTTCTTTAGCCGTACTCCACTTTATAAAGATCGGGTATATGCAAGGTTAAAAAATCTCGACTCTGGTAAAATCAGTTTAATATTAGCCATGTAACGCACTTAAATTGCCAGGGCTATATGAAAATTTTTAATAACTTTTTGTTCTGAAACAGCGTCTAACAATATTTGGATGCATTTTAGACTAAACATAAATTGAATGTAATAAAAAGGAATGCTGTTCCAAAATCTTTCGTTTTGAAGAACGGTCATCAGACAGCACTTGTTGGGTAAGCTGAACGGATATTGGGAACTACGAACCTGTTATGATCTTGAAAATGAATTATTTTCAATTCACCAAACAAGGTTAGAATTTAATATATATAGTCTTCATAAAAACTACTTTTAATAATATTTTGACCACCTTTTATTTTCAGATCATCAGATATATGAATTAACACAAGGATCAATAATAATTCAATTCCCGCCAGATTGAGATCGTGTCAGCCTCACTTGCAAGTGTCTTTTTCAAGATGTAAATGGTATCAATTTTATTGTCTTAAATACTGAACTAATAGATAATAAACGTAAACTAATGAAATTTTAATAACACACGAGATACTCTTGAGATGGATGAAAAATTAGTGTATGATAATATTATGAATGTTCTGGAGTTGGCTAATAAGGGACCTCAAGGTCCAAGGCCGGAGGGACGCCTCATGTCGAAAGCCGTTGGCTGTTGCCACGGAAATGAGTCAGTGTACAAAATGGATAGATCCTAGAAACAAGACTATTTTGTTTTTGATAGATAAATATTTCTTTGATATTGAGAAAGATATTACGCAATTCTTGTATATAATGTATTCTATGATGCTTGGAATTTAAAATAAACACTCTCTAAACAACGATTTATATATATAATATATATATATACCGATATATCTAAAAATATTTGAATTTTAATTCTTTTTTAGAACGCGAATTTCTATATTCTCTTTTTGATTTGAAAAAAAAGAAGTAAATGCTAAAATGCTATATAATTAATACTTCCTTACAATACAACCAATTACCTACATCCATCTGTGATCAGATATTCTAACAAAGAAACTAGCGATAATCTAATAGCAAAAACGGTTGTTATTGTTTACAACAGTTGGTGACGCAGAACCTAAATTAATTAGATGATACATTAGATACGTTATGCCTTGTTAATATGACCAATCGCGTAAAAAGTCATAGCCTATTAAGTATTAAGGCAACATCGCAACAATATTATGTTTTCTTTTCCACTAAATAAAAACAACCGCAATCATGACATCAAATTACATAATCCTTGTAAGAATTGATTACTACATAACGAGAATCCAAAATTTTTTGGACATTTGTGATTTTGGTCAAATATTTTTAACGTAATACAGTACTTCAATATGCTGAATTATTAATAAAACGAAAATAATTAATAACACAAATAAAATAAATTTAATAAAATATAATTATATAAATCAATTTACATTAAATAAAATCATTAATCCTCACGGCTCACGGCATTCATATTTTTTAATGGCGCAAAAAAAAAAAAAAAAAAATTGTCAAAGTTTGTTCAAGGGTGTGTATAACATAACATAAAATATTTGGCGTATTGGTCTTATTTATATATAGTACTATTTTTAATTACGCTTGTATGTAATGCATTTACATAACCAACTGCGTCTGAAACTTACGCCAAATTAGAAATATTTCATCATATGTTTTAATTATTTACTATAAATGGATTTTAAGGATATGATTTTGTTAATTAATTCTAACCCATTTAAGGCTGAAAATTCAAAGATTAATCTAATTGGCTTAATGATGGGTTAAATCTAAGCCATTTCGGGAGAGTCATTATGGGATTCACGTGTCACATGATTTTTTGTGCGTAAGTTTGACTGAGCCACTTCCATTTGTTTAAAAAAAAAGCATCCCCCCCCTTTTTTTTACTTATTTGTTTATTTACTTTTTTTCTTTCTTTTCATTTTTTTTTTCCTTTTCAAAATAAAAAAAAAAGAAACGAAAAAAAAAATAAAATAAAAATAAAAAAAAATGCGACAAATTTTATTACCCGATGAATGTTTAAACGAATTACTTTTATATCTTGATAATAAAACATTATACAAATGTTTATTTGTTAATAGAAATTATTGTAGATATGCGATTCCAATTCTTTGGGAAAGACCTTTTAAACCAAGTTTTATGAATTCGAAACATTCATTAATAATCAATACATTACTTAATTGTCTTGATAAAGAAGAAATAACAACATTAATACCATTTCAAATAAATATAACAGAGAATCGAACACCATTATTTGAATATGGAAAATTTATAAAAATAATTGATCAAGAATTTGTTAAACAAAATATTATAACATGGCTTAATTCAACCAATGGAAAAGTATTAACAGAAAGATATAATATAGCAAAATATCAAGATATTAGAGTGAAAAAGTTGATAAATGTTATTTATCATATGATAATTCGACAAGGATCAAATTTAAAAGAATTAAATTTGAGAGTATTTCAAAGTGATTTTTATATTGATTTACCAAAATTTTCAATATTTGATAATAATAATAATAATAATAATAATAATAATAATAATGAGGAAGAAGAAGATGATAATAATAATAACAATAATAATAATAATAATAATAATAATAATAATTATTATTATCCTGGTATAAAAAATTTAAGATCATTAAAGATTGATATAGATTTGGAATCAAATGATGATAAATATCAAAATACCATGGAATTTTTAAAATCAATACATAAATCATGTAATAATATAATTAATTGTAATTTATTAATTTATAAATTAAATTGCAATTTTGTTAAAGAATTTGTGAATATTATAAAATCACAACCTTTAAAAAGAATATCAATTTATACAAATTTTTTGGAACAATATAAAAAAGAAATTATATATGCATTGGAATATCGATCAAATACTTTAAGGGAATTAATATTCATTTATATGGATTTTAAAAATATAGATTTATCATCATTAACAAAATTAGAAAATTTAGAAAAACTTGAATTTGATAATTGTGAAGGATTTACTTATGAACATTGTAATATATTTTCTAAAAAGAAATTTCAATTGAAAGAATTTAAATTATGGCACGATGATCTTGATGTTATTTATGATTCTGATAATGTTTATGATCAACTTGGAATAAATTTAAACGTTATAGTAGGAATGATTATTACTCTTGGCGGTGTATCATTACTCAAATTATCATTAAATATTATTACTTCTGAGACGATTAAAGCGGTAAAAGATTCTTGTCCAAAAATCAATTTTTTACATATGAGATTAATTTCTTCAAAACATTTAAATTCAATAATTCCATTAATATGTGATTTATCATTATTAAAAATTTTACATATTCAAATGGATCCTGATGAAATTATGAATGGTAATAATGGTAATAATGGTAATAATAATAATAATCATAACGGTAGTAATCAATTAGTTGAAATCTTGGGTGATCATTTAATAACTGTTGAATATTTATATTTAAATGTAGATGTTTGTTTATCATCATTTAAATATTTTACAAATAATTCTAAAGTTAATTTGAAAAAATGGATCATTCCTTATGATGAATCTTTAAGAAAAGATTATTTAATTTGTGTGAATAATTATCAAAAGATACATAATTCTTTAAAAGTGTTGGGAATTGATGAAAGTGAGGATGGATTTTGTTGGAATGATGAAGAATTAGAAATAATTGATTCTTTAAAGAGTCAAGGAATTGATGTAGTTCCATCAAATCGTTTTATAAAATCATTTTATTAATATAAAATAATCCTTTTTATAATCTTCGTTTAAAATTTATAGAATAATAAAATAATATATATTATAATAGTTTCATAAATGTTCAAATGTTCATTTATTGTATCACATTGTATCACGTATACAAAATGTTAATCGTTCATAATAGGTTAAGATCTGTTAATAATCAGTCGGACGCAAATGTCAAAACTTTTCTTTTTTTTTTTAAATATATAATCGTATATAATAGTCTATTCCGTATTTATATCCAAATATAATTATAATTTCCGTTAGTAAAGCTATACTAAATATTTTTGGTCACACGACAAAAAAAAAGTAATAATAACGATAATAATCAATGTCGATTTTCATTGTTACAATCTGGCCAATCATTCCCATTTAATGATTATTTTCTGAAAATTTACTACGAAATTTAATAGGTATAAATCACGTCATGTGATAAATTATTCAAACATGTCGAAACCTTTTCGTTTAAAGTTAATATAATTTCGTTTCTTCTCAGAATCTTAAAATATAATGATATTTTCTTTATCACTCTAAAGTCAAGACTCAAGAACTTTTTTTCCAAGTATTCATAAGACTTTGATTGATTGTAGAGTGTTACAGTTTATCGAGTTTATCGTTTATCTAATGGTTATTGTACAACTTGTAATTGCTAAATTTAACTTTTATATGACATATGATTTGAACTATAAATCTATGGTTTATGATCATCATCCAATCAAATTCTTTCCCTATAGTCAAAAAAGTAAAAAAATGATTGGAGTCTTGTGTAACAATTATTTTCACATATATACTAGTTATTACACCAAAACCTTTTTTCCTTTATCCAAAAAACTTTTTTTTTTTTTTCCTTATTTTCTTTTTAATTTTGGAACAATGAATAATATTTCACTTTTTTTCGTTTTTTTCTTTATATCTTTTTCTTTTACATTTTTAAAAATGAGTAATTATTTTGAAAAATTATTTAAATTAATATTTAATTTTTCAAAAATAGTTCAAAAATTTCAAAAATTTCAATTATCACAAAAATTTCAAAATTTACGAAAATTATCAATAGTTATACCTTTACATCCTTTAGAAAGAATATTTATATTTATAACTACAATTTATATAATATCTTCAATTTCATTAATTACGGAAATATTAGGTGATCAAATTAATGGTTATATGCGTGTTTCTGACTGGTTATTATTTTTAACTATACCAGGTTTAATAATATGTAGTATTATCACCGTAAAGTATCTTTTAATTATTATTTTTTTTTATTCATTATTTAACTCTTATTCATTATTATTAATTATTTCTAACCGTTTTTTTTAGATTTATACGCGATCAATTCCACATTATACTATTTTCATAATATATAACATAATTCCAATTCTTCTTTATTCATCTTTAATCAATTTTATAAAAAATTTATGCGATGAAATATATTGTTCTGAACATGACGGTTTATTGAAAATATCTATCTCTTTATTCTCATTATCTGCTTTATTTGAATTAACTTTCATCTCATTGGGTTATATAATTTGGAGAAAAGGGTAAAAAAAAAAAATTTTTTTATATATATTATATTTATTTTTATATATAATAACGTTAAGATATCTAATTTTCTTTTTCTNTTTTTTTTTTTTTTTTTTTTTTTTTTTTCTTTTAGAATATGGAAATGTAAAAATGAGTTTGAAAAAGCTGGTCATGAAAAATGTCACGCTTAAGTATTTATATTCGCATATGAAAAAGCTAAATGATACGCTTAAATATTTATATTCGTATATGAAAAAGCTGGTCATGAAAAATGATACGCTTAGAATATTTATATTCGTATATAAAAAATTTATTTATTATTATTAATAATTTTTTTTTTTTTCACTATATGATTTCCTGATGGACAATTTCAACTTTTCAACCCTTGGGTTAATGAATAATGTAACCCCTGGGTCAATTTTAATCTTATGATTCCCGGTGAATAATTTCAATTGGGAATCCCGTTGAATAATTTAACCCTGGTTGAGGAATCCCGGTGAATAATATCTTATGAAGAAATAATATCAGCTAATTTTATCTTAATAATTCCCTGTAACTACTCTCTCGCTTTGTAAAAAATTTAATTTTGAACGCTAAAAAAAAAAAAAAAAAAAATTTTAATTTCGCAATTTCGCAAAATACATGCAATAAAAATAATAAAAAAAAAAATATTTTTTTTAAACCCTCGCTAATATAGAATTGAATTGAATGTAACGAAACTTTTTATTATTTTAAATGAGAAATCAAAAGAAATCAATCAATAAATCAAATCAAATCATCAAATCAAATCAATCAATCAATCAATCAAATCAATCAAATCAATCACATCAATCAAATCAAATAAAATCAATTCAACTTATAAAAAATTATCTTTGTTGAATCTGAAGATTCATGTATAGATATTTTAAATTGTTCTTTTACTAATTCACCAAATTCCTTCAATAAATCTTTATTAGAACAGAAATTATTTGGTACAAGAATATATTTCAAATTTTTTGGAATATATTGAATCACTTCCATTAAATCTTGACCAAAATCATACGTTTCATTAAATTTTGAACCGTTCAATATAATAAATTCCAAATGAATACATTGTTGAAAAAGATCAGATAAAGGTGGAAGAAAATCTCCAATAGGTTCAACATAAAGAGCCAATTCACGTAAATTAGAACATTTGTTGATAATAGAATTTTTAAATATATTAGAATTTTCAGGATCAATGATTTTACAACCTATTATAAAAATTTTTTCAATTTTTCCTTGAGTATTATTAATCAATAAAGATAACTGACCAGCAGATAATTTCCTAAAACAAATCTTTAAATATCTAAGTTCAGGAAATTTATTTCTAACAAATTCTTCCATTCCATTATTACTTTCATTTAATAATAATTCTAATTCTTGAAGTTTAGAACATTTTGAAAATAAATTTAATGATAAAGGAAACCTGCCTGATAATATTAATTGATTAAGAGAATCAATACCTTTAAGAACTTTTTCAATTTTAATAAATCCTGATTTAGGAGTATCATAATAAAATCCTAAAAATAATTTTTGTATAGATTTTTGAGATTTTATAAGATAAGCTATACCTTCATTATCTTGAGATATATTATCAATTTTAATATCTTGTATTAATTTACAAATATTTCCCAATTTAAATAAAATTAAAGGTTGTAAATTCCCATCACATTGAAATGAAGTAATATTTTTAAAAATATTTTTATTTTCTACTAAACTTCCATTATTATTAATAATAAAAGAATCATCATCATCATCATTAAAAATCTTATCAAATCTATAATTAATATTTTCTCCATAAGGATTTAATAATCCAAAATGATTAAGTTTCTTACATTTTTCTTTAAATAAATTCCAAATTTTTTTAATAATTAATTTTGTTAAATTTTCATCATTATTATTTCCAATTTTTTCAAAAACAAATTTATTTATTAAAAAAATGAAATGATGATAATTTAAATATCTTAAAAATATTGGATAATCAAAGAAAGGTTTTAAATTTGATATTGGTATACCGAATAATTTCAAATTATTTCGATCATCATCTGATAAACATGATATATATGTTGAAATAAGTAATATATATTTTTTAATATTTCCATGTCCAATATATTTAGTATTAAATACAACATAAATATCAATATTCTTCCAAGGATCACTCCAAAGAATAGGTACAACTATTTTACACCATTCTCTGTTAACCAGAATACAAGAAAATAATTCATCAAGTTCAAGTTCGTTAAAAATTTGAATAAGAGTTTCCGTTAAAAGTTTTGAAATCATTGTTTTTGTTTTTTTTTTCAAAGATATAATATAATAATAATTAACGATAATTTTATAGAAAAAATTTTTTTTTTTTTTTTTTTTATTTTTATTATTTTATATTACTATTGTATTACTATTGATAATAAATGCTTACAACTTTACCACGCATTAAAACTTTTGAAAAACAAAAAAATTTTTTTTTTTTTTTTTTTGCGTTGTTTAACAAATACAGTAGATGTAGATCATGACGATATAGCTATATCATACTATTGTTCAATCGAGTTAATCAATTAAGGATGGCCACCGCAGTATTCCTTAATATCGGTTTCAAACCATGTCATTAAAATTAAAACCATCAGTCATAAAAGGGAAAATTTTTCATGAATTTCATATCAAAAATTTTTCTTCATATAAGGATTCGCGCGAAACGTCATACAATAAATAACAAAATGTATATAATTAATAATTTTAAGTTTAATGCATATAACGAATAAAATTAATCGATCAGATTAAAAAAAGTTTCAGTTTATTTCAGTTTAGGATTAAAAATTTCCGTAACGGGCCGATTCAGATTTATTATTTTATATATTTTATATGATTAACTCTAGTATTTAATATACGGGTTTAATAATAAATGTATAACAATTGCAAAATTTTTATGCGTCAAATTTTATAGACGTAAATATAAACAAATAAATAAAATAAAATAAAGCGGGTACAATTGCATCATGTTTTTAATTTATAAATAGGTTTAGCGGGTACCTTTTTTTGATTTTTGGCGATTTTCTTTTTTTAGTTTTGATTTTTTTCTTTCTCACGTAAGATCATAAATAAACCTAAGATCGTAAAATATTTTGAACATACCAATTTTTATTTCTCATTTTTCGATAACATTTATTTCATACTTACAAGAACCACTTTTAGAAGAACATTCTTATTCATCAATATTATTAACGATGATTTCCTCTTTTAAACCTTTCCTTTCCTATTTAGATATCTTTCTTTCTCGTCTAAATAATTTCATTCCACAAACTCTTCCAATTCCAATTTATTTTATATTGATCTATTCTTTACAATTCTTTCTAATCTTTTTAACACTTTCTCCACCAAAATCATCTTATCATTATTATACCATTTATTTTATATTATTGATTTATTTTCTGTTACCGTTAAATTACGGTTATCATTTTAACTGTACAATTCAAGGGGTGATTCCTGTCACAGTTATTTCATATACTTGGAAAATGTTGATTTGGTTAAGAGAATGTGAGAATTCCTCTACTAAAAAAGATAAAATTATAAAACCTTATTATCATAGTTTATTTTGGTGGAGAAAATCTTCTTTTGATATGATTAATAATCAAAAAGATATTTTAAAGAAGGATCTTTCAAAGGAGGATGTTTCAAAAAAGGATCTTTCAACGAAGGATATTTCAAATAAGGATCTTTCAAAGGAGGATCTTTCAAATAAGGATCTTTCAAATAAGGATCCTTCAAAGGAGGATATTTCAAAGGAGGATATTTCAAAAGATATTCCTAAAAGTATTTCAAAAGATATTCCTAAAAGCATTTCAAAGGATATTCCTAAAAGTATTTCAAAAAATATCCCTAATGGTATTTCAAAGGATATCTCTAATGGTATCTCAAAGGATATCTCTAATGGTATTTCAAAGGATAATATTTCAAAACGTATTTCAAACAACAATATTTCAAAGGATATTTCAAATCATGATGTTTCAAAAGATGTTTCAAAGGATATTTTGTCCAATCAAAATCAAAATATTTACATACCCGTAATACCTTCAAAATATATTCTTACTAGATTAATTTCTTTTATTAAAATAACGACAATACAAGAATTTTGGTTGATTTTTATAGAATATTATATGCCAAATGAAATATCTTCTATACCATATCCAATTCGATTTTATAATTATTTTACATCATCTGATTCAGATCAACAATATTATATATCACCATTTTATATGTTTTATTGTGCAATTTATACTGGAATAATTTATTGGAATATGATTTGGATTTATGAAATTTATTTATTTGTAGCTTCTTGTTTATTATATTATATTCAATCTACAAAAAAATTTTCAAATTCAATCTTTTCTACTTCTTTTATTATTCCTTATCCTTATAACAAATTATTAATTAAATTAAAAATTTCGAAAAATTTTTCCTCACTTTTAGAACAATGGTTATATCATTTCTTATTTTTTACTAATCCATTATTTGATTCCCCTCATTTATCTTGTTCTCCTTCTGAATTTTGGTCAAAAAGATGGCATTTACTTTATCGTAATTGTTTTGTTGAATTAGGTTATTTACCTTGTAAAAAATTCATGAATAATTATTATCCTTCTTTTTTACCTCATAAAAAAGTTTTATCTCATATTTTTGGAACTTTTGCTGGTTTTTTATGGAGTTGCATATTTCATGAATATGTTATACATTCATTATTTGGTTTAGCTAATGGTGAACATTTTACTTTCTTTTTATTTCATGGTATTATAGCTATCTTTTGGGAAATTATTGTAACCCTCTCATTTAGAAAGAATGATAATACAGCGTTCGATCAGAAAAGATATTATTATACAAAGAAAGTTATTGGCTTCGTTTTATGGAATTCTATCTTAATATTATCTGCTCCTTGGTTCGCCGAACCTTATATTAGAGCTAAACATTATTATTGTTATCCTCATTTCGGTTGTGATAAAGGTTATAAAGGTTATTAATATAGGTAAACGAGTTATCTTGGAGATCTTAATTACCTAAAAAAGAAGCATGTGGGAGGAATAATGATTTAGAAATTAGATTATTTTGATTTGATTTAAAAAAAATAAATAAATAAATAAAATAAAAAAAAAAAAAATTTAACAATAATTTAACCATTTTACATATATGTTATTAATATATTACCTGAATTATTGCCTTATCTATCTATATATATATATTTTTTAACAATATATTTTAACAATCCTGCTATTTGTAATGAATATTAATAATATACAAAACTACTTGATTTTTTTTTTTTTTTTAAAAAAAAAAAAAGAAA